CCTACACCAAAGAACCCCTTCTGAACATACTGTAGTGTTTCTACCATGTTGATACTTGTATACCAGTTACTAGATTTGCAACACAATGTCACAGGGCTCAGTACATATAAAATAGACTAGGCGATAACATGTTATCAAGGCAGTTACATTTTCATCTACATTGTATCGACAGTTTTAATAAAGGACTAAAGTATCAATTTACCTTTTAGTTAGCGAGTGACAAAAAGTTTGTGTTAGTGGGAACAACAATGTACGTCATTGTCCATTATGATTTGCCATTGTGAGGCGCTCTCACGTCATATTTGGAAAACCTCTTCCATGGTTTTTGTGAAAACAGTGCCACCTTGAGACAGAGACATAACCCTACAAAATTGTGGAAAGGAAAAGCTAACGTCTCTCAAAATGTTCAATAGATGGCACTAAAACCTAATGTGGCCGATATTGCATCACGAGGAGGATATGAGCTCTTCACGGCTTTATAGAGGTGAATAGATTTTCATTAAAATCAAATAGATTTCAGTTCTTTCCGAAGTATGATTTTAAGGATTTCACTTTGCTATCACTTCATCAACTTTTCAGATTACCTGTTGGACAATACCTCTTTTATTGCTCTTCTCCATAACTGTAGACACATTAAACTAACTATACTCAACATTATCTTTATTCAAGTTGTGAATATTAGAATCTCTATTGCACCACCAGTCTTGATACCAGTTTAAAACCAAACAAGTTCAGACTCCAACTGCCATTTCAACACTACACATGTAGTTTTAATGAATGCAAGTGTCAAGGCCACCACTTCCTCTTCTCTTCTACCCTACAATGTCAGGTTTTTACTGGAAACCAGTCCCACTGACTAAAAACTGACTGGGATGCCGTTGTAAACTGACTTACCATTACAAAACTAGGTTTTAGTTGTGAGCCTTCACTGTTAACTATATACACTGAGTGTACAAAACATTAGGTTCGCCTTCTTAATATTGAGTTGAACCCCCTTTTGCCCTCCGAATAGCCTCAATTTGTCGGCACATGGACTCTACAAGGTGTCGAAAGCGTTCCAAAGGGATGCTGGCCCATGTTGACTCCAATGCTTCCCACAGTTGTGTCAAGTTGGCTGGATGTCCTTGTCACACTCAAACCGGTGAGCCTGGCACCTACTATCATACCCCGTTCAAAGGCACTTCTATTTTTTGTCTTGCCCATTCACCCTCTGAATGGCACACATACACAATCCATGTCTCGACTGTGTCAAGGCTAAAAATCCTTCTTTAACCCGTCTCCTCCCCTTCATCTACACTGATTGAAGTGGATTTAACATGTGACATCAATAAGAGATCATAGATTTGACCTGGTCAGTTTATATCATGGAAAGAGCAGGTGTTCCTAATGTTTTGTACACTCAGTGTAGTGCCACAAGCTCCAATCCCCACCAACTCTCTCTGTTAAGTGTTTTCAGTATGCAGTGACCAGATCTCCACAAGTACAGAAAGACAGACAGTCTTCTGGACCATGACCTCTATCCCGTGACAGCAGACTGTAGCTCCTGTTGATGAAGCTAACCAGAGGGAGGGGGAGTTCATTCTAAATGACAATCACAGATTAAGGTCACCTTTGTGGTTTCTGAGGAGCAATATGGAAATTACTGTTCTATTCACAGTTTATCGGATGAACGTAGCAAGCTAACTGAGCCAGACTTAAACCACATGAATGGATATGAGAGAGAGGGAGGGAAGTCCCAGAGTACTCATTCTGAGACAGAAAATTGGTTCTTTCAGGCTAGGGAAAAGACAGTTTTGAGTTGTAGAGTAAATGTAACACTGAAGGGCTTAAACCTCCTGGAAATGTTTTAACTAGTGGCAAACTGTCCTCATCTCCTGTCCCATCGGAGCAGAGGTGAATGGGCTGAATGGGTTAGATGGGGGTTTGCATTCACCTCTTCCAGTCGTTTTATATATGTGGTAATGAACCATATCTGTCCATCTACAGTAAACTTGGGATATAGGGTACAGTGGTAATGAACCATATCTGTCCATCTACAGTAAACTTGGGATATAGGGTACAGTGGTAATGAACCACATCTGTCCATCTACAGTAAACTTGGGATATAGGGTACAGTGGTAATGAACAGTAAATACAGTAAAACAAGTGCTGCATTCTAGATAGCTCACGCCCCCTATCTTCTTGTCACTCCGCAATGAAAGTATGTGACTCGGCACTCTAGTCTCAGCACAAACATGGGCCCCATATAAATGTAGATAAAGAGTACGCATTCCGTTCCTATTTGGATGGGAAGTATGAAATGTGCGTAACGTGCGTAATAAGACAGTTCTCCAAATGGCGTCGTAAGATTGCCAACGGTTCAAAGACTACAGGATTTTGAAAAGTTTCACACTTTTTTTTTATACAAAAAGGAACAGGAAGCAAGCCTTCTATCTCATGCTGACACCGCATACTTCCCTTTATCTCTGTAAACCGTCCTTTACGCATGAGTGCTTTGTAGTCTCATTTTTTTTTCAAATGTATCAGCCAGCTTCAAACTTGCTTCACTTACCGAAATGTCCATTTCAGAGGGAAGTTATCGTTAAAATGTATCCATAAATATATGTACACAATTAAGTCTTATTGCACCCATTTCATTGCACCCTAGTAGGCCCTTATGAGTACTTCCATTTCCATTCAAGTATTACTGTACGGCTTCCTCAAACTCTGTCAAATATTCGTTCTGTCTTTATTTTTTATGTCTAGCCACTAACTAAAACATATCAAATAGGTTATTTCGTATGTAATTACTACTTACCCAATATTATAAGTAGTGCAGAATATTTCTGATTTGCGTTAGTTCAGGAACGAGTTGGTTGAATTATTGTTGACCAAAGTTATTTCGACGTTGGCAAAAGTCCTAAAACGGACTAAGCAGTGTCCCTAATTTATCTCAGTCCTGCCTCTTCATGTACATGAACACTAGGCGTTTGCAGTTCTGCAGTCATTCATAGCTTTGGAGTTGAACTGTGACACTTTCTTTCGTAGCTGGTCACACCCACCTCACACCACGAACTAACAACTTTTGACATTCAAATTTTGCCTGATCATCCAACTCATTCACACATAATTTCAATGACAAATATGTCTGTTTGTGCACAGATGTAAGGATATATACATATGTATGCACTAAGACAACTTTAATCAATAAACATGTATTTATAAACAGGACATTTGTTCTCTTTCTGCATACAATAATTGTTTTAATGAAACTAAAAATAAAAAAAACATTAAGGATCAAGAAGCATTTTTGATTTGTTTGTTTTGTGTTATTTCAATGTACATACTGGTCTTGTTTCAATGTTGACTTAGGACGTGGGAACCTCCAGGACCAGAGGGTGTGTACCAGTATGACATACATAGAATGTTTTATTGCGGAAACAGCCTGGTCCCCAGGGCGCTTGTTCCCACAAGCTTATTAAAGGAATTGGCTTTGAAGGTCATAAACTTATGAATACACCCACTCTCTCTACAGTTCCGGTTGGCCATTGATCTGTAAAAGATCATGAATGGAAGTTTTGGAATGTGAAGTTCTGGATCCTGCACACATTTCCTGGATGTCCATAGAAGAACAAACCAAATGGCAGTGTCATGCTTCCTTCAGAAAAAAATAAATGTATTACTGCCTCTTTGTGCCAGCTTGGGAACTTGTTGCTGCCTCCCCAGAGAACTTGCACTGTTACTCACTTCACTTGGCTGGAGGCATGTTCCAAAACACTATTCAATTATATTGTATAGAAACAACCAGAGATAATTAGTTAGTTAGCCACATTAGAATTGCACCACTCCCCCTCCCTAAGTTAACTTTGACACGTTTCCCTCTTCGCATAATCAAATACTTTTCTGTGTGTGCACCTCTAATCTCACTGAACCACATGACAGCATTCCAGTGAATGTGGTATGTATGCAATCAATCTGCCACATCTGTGTGTGCCTTTCATGTCAGTTGATCCTAAAGATGCCACAAAAAAAGCTATGTTAACTTAAAGACAGTTCTTTTAGGGCCTGACAGTATACAATGGGGGACACAGATAAAGGCCTGTATAACCATTCATGGTCATGTTGAGGACACAGAGCTATTTGGGTATACAAGGCCAATAGAAGTCAACTATGCTTGGTATGGGGTGAGGTGGGTGTGGTATTTGTTGCAGGATGTTTTCCATTTTGCTGTAGAATGTTCCCAGAGGAGGTGTTAGATCACAGCTCAGGCCAATGCATTCCATTGTGCCACAGCCCACACAGTACCTCCCAACACATACCGCAGAGACGGAGTTAATATGTGAGAGAGCAGAACATACTTTCGGAGATAATGATAAAGGAGATGGCAGCCTAGACCGCATGGTTGGCCAAAATAAATAACACAGAAAGCTGGCCAATATAACACATAGATGGAAGTGGGTCCTAGTGATCATGTGCAATGCTGAAAGTTATTGGTCATCCACATCCACCATGTTCGCTAATACTTTACCTTTAAATTCTAGCTAGTCACTTACACTAGTCTCAAATCACATTATTTACTGCATTATTATATATGGAATACATTAGAAACATTTTACATACAATCTGTATAAAGAAAGCCTTTACAATGATATTTCATATAATATCAGGTCCATTTCTTGTGAGCTGCAACAAGCAGTGAAGCGTGACCTTTCTGGGTCAAGGGCAGGGTAAAGTCAGAGACCAAGGTTAGAGGTCAGGAAATTTCAACAGGCCTGTTGTCCCGTCCTGAAGCTTGCAGAGGACCCAGGCACAGCAAGGCTTTTACAGGGATGCCTAGCTGACTGAACATCAACATGAGCTCAGGGAACGATGTACTTCCTGTGGAAATGAGAGATGAGCAGAGGAGCGACGCGAGAGACCAGCAGAGTTAAGAAATGAATGAGACCAACAGTCAGACATAACATTCAGCCATAAGACAGACCACCAAAGTCACACACGTTAGGATTAAACTAAAAGTACATCTAACCACAACATTTAGCTAACAGTTGTGTAGCAGACATCTTCCTGAGGCAGGGGATGGAGTGGTAGACCAGGAAGCAGGCCAGAATGTTGGGCCACATGTATGTCCTCAACACATGGCAGATCTATGAGTATTCTTCATGTAACACTATCACATAATCCGTTTGCTACCGATTGTTGCCACTTGCCAATATTTAGTGAGAAAGAAAGCATGTCATAACAACGTTCCATGTTTCCCAAGTCGTTACTGTTCACACCCAAAGACATGTTCTGACACGTCCAGTCCCACTGACGGGAACTGTGTGTCACAGGTACACACTGATACAAACTGTAATAATACACTGCTCAAAAAAATAAAGGGAACACTTAAACAACACAATGTAACTCCAAGTCAATCACACTTCTGTGAAATCAAACTGTCCACTTAGGAAGCAACACTGATTGACAATACATTTCACATGCTGTTGTGCAAATGGAATAGACAACAGGTGGAAATTATAGGCAATTAGCAAGACACCCCCAATAAAGGAGTGGTTCTGCAGGTGGTGACCACAGACCACTTCTCAGTTCCTATGCTTACTGGCTGATGTTTTGGTCACTTTTGAATGCTGGCGGTGCTTTCACTCTAGTGGTAGCATGAGACGGAGTCTACAACCCACACAAGTGGCTCAGGTAGTGCAGCTCATCCAGGATGGCAGATCAATGCGAGCTGTGGCAAGAAGGTTTGCTGTGTCTGTCAGCGTAGTGTCCAGAGCATGGAGGCGCTACCAGGAGACAGGCCAGTACATCAGGAGACGTGGAGGAGGCCGTAGGAGGGCAACAACCCAGCAGCAGGACCGCTACCTCCGCCTTTGTGCAAGGAGGAGCAGGAGGAGCACTGCCAGAGCCCTGCAAAATGACCTCCACAAATGTGCATGTATCTGCTCAAACGGTCAGAAATAGACTCCATGAGGGTGGTATGTGGGCCCGATGTCCACAGGTGGGGGTTGTGCTTACAGCCCAACACCGTGCAGGACGTTTGGCATTTGCCAGAGAACACCAAGATTGGCAAATTCGCCACTGGCGCCCTGTGCTCTTCACAGATGAAAGCAGGTTCACACTGAGCACGTGACAGACGTGACAGAGTCTGGAGACGCCGTGGAGAACGTTCTGCTGCCTGCAACATCCTCCAGCATGACCGGTTTGGCGGTGGGTCAGTCATGGTGTGGGGTGGCATTTCTTTGGGGGCCGCACAGCCCTCCATGTGCTCGCCAGAGGTAGCCTGACTGCCATTAGGTACCGAGATGAGATCCTCAGACCCCTTGTGAGACCATATGCTGGTGCGGTTGGCCCTGGGTTCCTCCTAATGCAAGACAATGCTAGACCTCATGTGGCTGGAGTATGTCAGCAGTTCCTGCAAGAGGAAGGCATTGATGCTATGGACTGGCCCGCCCGTTCCCCAGACCTGAATCCAATTGAGCACATCTGGGACATCATGTCTCGCTCCATCCACCAACGCCACGTTGCAACACAGACTGTCCAGGAGTTGGCGGATGCTTTAGTCCAGGTCTGGGAGGAGATCCCTCAGGAGACCATCCGCCACCTCATCAGGAGCATGCCCAGGCGTTGTAGGGAGGTCATACAGGCACGTGGAGGCCACACACACTACTGAGCCTCATTTTGACTTGTTTTAAGGACATTACATCAAAGTTGGATCAGCCTGTAGTGTGGTTTTCCACTTTAATTTTGAGTGTGACTCCAAATCCAGACCTCCATGGGTTGATAAATTTGATTTCCATTGATAATTTTTGTGTGATTTTGTTGTCAGCACATTCAACTATGTAAAGAAAAAAGTGTTTAATAAGATTATTTCATTCATTCAGATCTAGGATGTGTTATTTTTGTGTTCCCTTAATTTTTTTGAGCAGTGTATATTATTGTCCAGTTCATTCAAATGGATCTGTTAACAGTCCATCCTCCAGTGTAACTGCCCCTCCCACTGTGTTGAGACCTCTCACCAGTGAGTCCAGGGTGCAATCGGCTGAGTTCTTCATGACAGGCAGCCACCTGCCCTGTGGCCCCTCCCTCAGTCTGAACAGCAGGACCCTGCCCTGTGGCCCCTCCCTCAGTCTGAACAGCAGGACCCTGCCCTGTGGCCCCTCCCTCAGTCTGAACAGCAGGACCCTGCCCTGTGGCCCCTCCCTCAGTCTGAACAGCAGGACCCTGTTCTCACACAGCTCCAACAACAGTCTCATCTGTCACAGAGCAAACATCTCACATCTCCGTCTATTCCAGGGTCCACACCACCTGGGGGAGAAAACACAGTCAACACACACACTAAGAGACGACATTGGAGACATACAACCGAGAGCACATTGAAGTGACATCAGTTTGTATTGGGGAAAAGTCAATCTATGAAAACTTTTATCTAATAGTAATACAGCTGCATTCTATGAGTGGGAGCATGTACATCAGGGCTCTCCAACCCTGTTCCTGAAGCACTAACGTCCTGTAGGTTTTCACGCCAACCCTAATCTAGCGCACCTGATTCTAATAATTAAGTGTTTGATAAGCTGAATCAGGTTAGTTACAACTGGGGTTGGAGTGAAAACCTAACAGGAACGGAGTTGGAGAGCCCTGATGAACATGCACAGACCACCGTTACTATTGTATGGGGTGACTTCTATGTTTCATACCTGATCAATAGCAATGTAGTTGGGCAGCATCTCAGGGTTCTCCTGAGTGACACACTCAGATCGAATGGCAGAGATTAAGGCCAAAGTGTCGTGTTTCTGAACAAAGACAACAAAATAGAAGCTCCATTCAGTGCAACAACAGTAAATAGAAGCTCCATACAGAGCAACAACAGTAAATAGAAGCTCCATTCAGAGCAACAACAGTAAATAGAAGCTCCATACAGAGCAACAACAGTAAATAGAAGCTCCATTCAGAGCAACAACAGTAAATAGAAGCTCCATACAGAGCAACAGCAGTAAATAGAAGCTCCATTCAGAGCAACAACAGTAAATAGAAGCTCCATTCAGTGCAACAACAGTAAATATAAGCTCCATTCAGAGCAACAACAGTAAATAGAAGCTCCATTCAGTGCAACAACAGTAAATAGAAGCTCCATTCAGAGCAACAACAGTAAATAGAAGCTCCATTCAGAGCAACAACAGTAAATAGAAGCTCCATTCAGTGCAACAACAGTAAATAGAAGCTCCATACAGAGCAACAACAGTAAATAGAAGCTCCATTCAGTGCAACAGTAAATATAAGCTCCATTCAGTGCAACAACAGTAAATAGAAGCTACATTCAGAGCAACAACAGTAAATAGAAGCTCCATTCAGTGCAACAACAGTAAATATAAGCTCCATTCAGTGCAACAACAGTAAATAGAAGCTCCATTCAGAGCAACAACAGTAAATATAATAATAATAAAATATGCCATTTAGCAGACGCTTTTATCCAAAGCGACTTACAGTCATGCGTGCATACATTTTTGTGTATGGGTGGTCCCGGGGATCGAACCCACTACCTTGGCGTTACAAGCGCCGTGCTCTACCAGCTGAGCTACAGAGGACCACAAATAGAAGCTCCATTCAGAGCAACAACAGTAAATAGAAGCTCCAGTCAGTGAGAGCTTATCAATTGAAGAAACAGTAACTGTGGAATTATAAAATAGGACAGTGAGGGGTGTTTCAATAACTTAAATAAAATCATGAGCCAAAGGTTAGAACCAATCTCCTTCAATTTCAGTGTATTCAGAAATAAATATCCTACATCTCCAATTATATATACTGACATGTACCTGGTGGAAATGGGAATCAAGTGATTAACAAACAGATTCACAAGGGGAGCGACATAGGCAGTATTTAAGTCTAATTTAAACCCTCGGTGTAGGCTCTGTGTTAGAACGTTAAGTTGTAGCTGCCACGTGCCTGCAGCTGCGTCATATAGCATACACTATTTCATGCTCTCCGAAGCTTTACGGAAGTAATCAGCGAAGGAGACCAAGGCAGTGTCGGAGGTGAAGGTCGAGATGGCCTCGGGCTGTGGGAGGAAAAAAATAAAACTGCTACAACAACAAGGTCTGCTGTCGTGCCTGAGGGAGGCACTTGAAGGTTTCCAATGAGCTATTGCATCTCCTGGGACAGGGGACATGTTGACTGAAAGGCTATTGGACAATAGTGTCAAGACATATTGGTTGTTTTGCATGCACTACTATGTGCTGTACTGAGATTATATCAGTATCAATATCTATTTCTATACCCTGGCTGCTATTAATGTCTCATTCAAGCTTCTTTCTGACTGGCCAACACAGATGTTTGGTGAGACTCATTATGCTAGCTATGTGTTGATACTTTAGTATTGATTTCATTTTCAGCGGTTCAAGTTTCACAACCTTGCAACCTTGACATACTAATGAAATAAATGTGTACTGGTATATGCTGCATGCCATGTTGACAAAGTTATGCTAGTACCTGTATGCTAAAGTACCATTGAATCTCCTATGTAGCCAATATCTAACATGTAGTACTGATGAAGTACATGATGACATGTAACTAGTAAAAAGGTATTAACTAGTTGTCCAGACAGTCCAGTTTTGTGTAAACAGAGGACCAGGATGTTTGTACCTTGAATGTGTGGACTTCTGAGTTCCTGTTGATGACGTTGGGGGATAATAGACTCTTCCAGTCCCGATGGGTCGTCCTTATAGGGCATGCAGCTTCAGATACAGAAACCCATCTCTGGACAGAATCGACCTACAACACACATATAGGAGAAATGAGTCAAATACACAGGAATACACAGACACACATTTTAGATCATGTTAGGATGGACAAAACAATAGTGATGGTGGAAAAATCTATAGTTACATATCACTATTATTTTGAACGATATTATATTGAAACTTTGACTCCAAGTATGGATTTGTATTTTTATATTGCTAGGTAGCATTAGCTAGCGCTAGTCAGCTGTACCTGCACCAAAACTCTGGTATTTTTAATCATATTGCTTTTTAAATAGTGAGCCAACATGTTTTCAGTACTTTTATTTCCCTGACTGATCACAACTATTTTTCTCATGCTCTCTCTTGTGTCTCTGCAGCAGACATATAGTGAGCAATATGTTTGGAACATCAAATCACAATAAAATCACAGTATCAAATCACAATACATATAGAATCGTGAGAATCGCAATACATATTTTATCGGCACCTAAGTATTGTAATAATATCGTATTGTGAGTTCCCAGGCAATTCCCAACCCTACAAAACAATATGTGCTGCCATTATCAACCATTATTGCAGAACAGCACAAACTCACATCAAAGGGTATGGCCCTGATAAGTCATCACCAACTGAGATTTCATGATATGAATCTGTACATTGGACCAGAAACGTTCACAAACATTCAAGTGGTGGACTTACTCTAGATGTGGAGTTCCTTTATTCAGGTCTATCGACAGCTTCCAGTATCAATGGTTATTTTACTTGAATCTGTAACCCCATTCAAATAAGTAGGTCAGCCATTAATCTTTGAAACTTTATTTTGAAAACAATGTGAAAAAGATCCTATGACTTTCCTGTAATAGCGGAGTTTGATCCTCCTAACTGACTTTTCCCTGTACTGTATTGTAAAGAGGAAGCGAGAAATGTGTATCAATTGCATACACGGACACATTGCATTACTCACTTTCTAACAAAAATGTTGAAATCTCACATTTTAACATTGACCATCCTGCTTAGCAGAATGACTTTGCAGCATGGCTACATTTCCTTTGACCACGTTGAGAAGCTGCAGCTCAGGCAACATGGTGGTGGCCATCAGTTCTGCTGTAGTCTCCTCATAACACAGAGTCCCCTGAAATGAAGAAAAACAAATATGCTCTGAAGACATTGAAGAAGAAATGAACACAGAATCACACAGCCATTATACACAGCCATGCAATCTCCATAGACAAACATTGGCAGTAGAATGGCCTTACTGAAGAGCTCAGTGACTTTCAACGTGGCACCGTCATAGGATGCCACCTTTCCAACAAGTCAGTTCCTCAAACTTCTGCCCTGCTAGAGCTGCCCCGGTCAACTGTGTTATTTGAGAAGTGGAAACATCTAGGAGAAACAACAGGCTCAGCCGCGAAGTGGTAGGCCACACAAGCTCACAGAACGGGGCCGCCGAGTGCTGAAGCGCGTAATAATTGTCTGTCCTCTGTTGCAACACTCACTACCGAGTTCCAAACTGCCTCTGGAAGCAACTTCAGCACAATAACTGTTCGTCAGGAGCTTCATGAAATGGGTTTCCATGGCTGAGCAGCTGCACACAAGCCTAAGATCACAATGGGCATTGCCAAGCGTCAGCTGGAGTGGTGACAGTCGCCGTTCCAGCTGGAGTGGTGACAGCTCGCCGCCATTGGACTCTGGAGCAGTGGAAAAGCGCTCTCTGGAGCGATGAATCACGCTTCACCATCTGGCTGTCCGACGGACAAATCTGGGTTTGGCGGATGCCAGGAGAACGCTACCTGCCCCAATGCATAGTGCCAACTGTAAAGTTTGGTGGAGGAATAATGGTCTGGGGCTGTTTTTTATGGTTCGGGCTAGGCCCCTTAGTTCCAGTGAAGGGAAATCTTAACGCTACAGCATACAATGACATTCTAGAAGATTCTGTGCTTCCAAATTTGTGGCAACAGTTTGGGGAAGGCCCTTTCCTGTTTCAGCATGACAATGCCCCTGTGCACAAAGCGAGGTCCATATAGAAATGGTTTGTCGAGATCGGTGTGGAAGAACTTGACTGGCCTGCACAGAGCCCTGATCTCAACCCCATCAAACACCTTTGGGATGAATTGGAACGGCGACTGCAAGCCAGGCCTAATCGCCCAACATCAGTGCCCAACCTCACTAATGCTCTTGCGGCTGAATGGAAGCAAGCCCAGCAGCAAAGTTCCAACATCTAGAGGAAAGCCTTCCCAGAAGAATGGAGGCTGTGATAGCAGCAACTGCATATTAATGTCCATTATTTTGGAATGAGATGTGCGACGAGCAGGCGTCCACATACTTTTGTGTACGATGGACATTCGATGGACTGAAGCATTACATTTACGTCATTTAGCAGACGCTCTTATCAAGAGCGACTTACAAATTGGTGCATTCACCTTATAGCCAGTGGGATAACCACTTTACAATATGTTTTTTTCTTTCTTTCTTTGGGGTGGGGTAAGGGGGGGTAGAAGGATTACTTTATCCTATCCCAG